TAGTACTAGCGCTCTGTTGCCACGGCCTTCTTAATGTCTGCTTGTCACTTTTCTTTCTTTCTCACTGGTTCTTCATTTTTGTTCATTTCTCTGCTGCCTGGACTTCTTTTTTGTTAGCGAATTACTATTGGGACTGAGCTGGTTGATAATGCCAGAGGCTTGTATTTTATAGTACACATTGCTACAAAGCCCTAGGTTAGGATGATAGAATTTTCCGTGGCTGTGAATTCCTGCCTTGCCATCAAAACCTGCCACTCTGTACATCACAAAGTTGAAATGCATGTTGGTTTCTCATACTTCATGGTACTATCATGAATAGAATACTATTATTAAAAGTTGTGTATCTATCTAAATGTTTTGTGAAGAATAAAAGCTGATACAAATGGCATCACTGCTTTTTGGGCTTCTTATGTAAGTGTCAGGTGGGTGCAAGTGAGCCTTTTCCCTGAGTGCACGATGAAGCTCCGAGACTGGACATTTCCAAGGAAACCAGAGTGTTTCTTGAAAGATAAATGAGTTCCCTTCGATACTGGAGTAGCCCACGCTTAACATGTATGTGACTCCTGGCAATGCCAAATTTGGTGTTCTAAAAACTCTGCTCAGCAACGAGAACTTTTCTTTGATTTTGCTCATTTCTAATACTGAGAAAATTTAAATGAATGTTTGCTTATCTTTAATGCTAGGGATGTCCTCTTTATCCTTCTTAGAGTATCTTACAAACAGAATTATGGTGAATGAGGAAAAAGCTGTTCTCTGAAACATTTTTAGGTATCACAGTGTCAAAAGTTTTAAGAATCCTAAGGAAAAAGAAGGTTTTTTTTGCTTTTTAAAAAAAAAAAAAAATTTTTTTTTTTTTTTTTTTTTTTTTTTTTTAGCTGTTTATTCCCCTATGCCATACCTAGGTGAGTTCTTGCTTCAGTCTCTAAGGAATATCCTGGGCAGTAGGGCACACTATGCTTACTCGTTACAATACTTTCACTTCTGACAGTTTTCCGCTTTCATTCTTTGACCTCTTTCTTCAACTGAAAATAGGCCCTTAGGAATCAAAATCGAAAGCTCCCACAATTCTCAAGGTAGCAGTCTAGTAGAACTTTGATGGTTGCACCATTCCTTCACCGAGGTACATTTTTTTTTTAAATGTAGCATACCTTCTGGACTTTAAAAATTCAAAAGGGAAATGTTTTGATCCTACTAGGATCAAGCATCTTTTTCTGCCTATCAACGAACATGTCAACGAAGTGTGCATGCACGTGCCTGTGCCTGTGCGCTCGGGTACGCACGCACCCACATTTGCACTCACATAGCACCTCAGTTCTTTAAGAAGTTGGTAAGTCACTGTGGGAGTGTTTTCCCTTTTTCCCTTGTTCTTTCTTTGTCCGGACAACCTTTGGATTTCCTTTGTCCTTTTGTTCTGTACCTTTACTTTGCAGTGCTTGGCTCGAAGGCTTGGCAGTAACCTGTACAGGGACACTGTGGCCTGCCCTTTAACAGAGGCCATAATGCCTAAGAGGGCTTCAGTCCCCTCACCTGTTTCAGCCATGGTAGGGTCAACACATGTTCTAATGGGAAGGGTCCAGTTTTGCTCTATAATATTTCAATATTTGTAATCTATACAAGAACGAAGAGGCAGAGAGAGAAATTGAGAGGATGAGGTATCAGTGATGCCTCCGCAAATGTAAAAATCTAAAAAAAGTTTTAGAGTTTTCCTTGCCTTTTTCCTACTGTGAAGAGCTTTGAAGGATTGTCCGAGCTTGGTTCAGTGGTACACCTGTACTCTCAGTACATGGAGGCCGAGGCAGGAGGATTTTGAGTTCCAAGCCAGTCTGGGTTACATAGTGAGACCAAAAAGGAAAGAAAAGGGGAAAAATAAACTTAAGTTTAAATCAACTTTTTCTCCTTTAAAAATAAAGCAAACACAAAACACACTTTATTTTTGTATTTAATTGACTTCAGGCCTAACGCATAACCTTAGAAGTCAAATATTTCCTTGAAGCAGACAACATCCAGGAGCTGGCGTAGACCTTCCTTGTCCAGCTGCCACTAGCCAAGTGCAAAACTTCACCTGAGAACAATATAAAATGAAAATGTTGAGTTTCTTAGCCACGGTAGTGCTTGGTAACCATGGAGCACACACGCTTCCACCGTCACTGAAGGTTCTGTTGGGCAGTATTCCTGTTACTGTTACATATTGGAAGCATTTTTATATGGCCTTTCCTGCAGCCTTAGCAGGATATCAGCAGAGCAGTCACCAATGCGTGACTATAAATGAGAACTGTCGTTAAATCCAAAACACATTAAGCCTTCTGTAGACTTTTAAAGTCTCATCCAGTGCGGCACTTTCTGTGCACGGAGAGCATCTCTTTCTCTCTGTTTAAGCTGGACACTTGCCCCAGATTTCTTTCCCCACAAAAAAAAAAAAAAACCAAAAAACCCCAAATACAATGTTATACCACACCAGTTTCCGTCACCTAAAATCTGGCTAGTTTAAATAGTTTAAAATACTTAAGTCTTTTATTTCAAATTCGTGACTGATTTTAATCATCCCTCCCCTCACCGCTGTGTTAACGTCTCTCCTGTACTGCGAATAGCTAATGACCATTTTTCTCTGTTGCAGGTGAATGCACAATATTTGCAGCTGTTCGTGATTTAATGGCTAATCTTACACTGCCCCCTGGTGGGCGTCCATAGACACTATTGTTTTTAAACCAGGAAAGCTGACAAATGAAACAAACAACACACACACACAAAAAGGCTGAATCCAGCCATCACTTTTAAAAAGGAAAAGGACTTTTTTTATTTTAATCTTAAGAGCTAAATATTCTAATCTGGGAAAAATTTTCAGGGTGCACTTCTTTCATCAAAAAGACCATCAATCTTTTGTATAGTGAACTTGTATAGTATGTTTAAAATGCGACACATTTCAAACTAGGTAACAGATCAGTCTCCACTTGCCGGTCATAGACTTACTATTCTGTTTTATACTATAAAGTAATGAAAATGCCAAAATTGTTTATTTAATTGTTTTCTTATGTTTTGGGTGTAATGGTCTTTTTTATTTTTTATTTTTGTTTTATTTTTTTAAGGCAGGCTTGTCATTTTTGAATACTGTAAAACTGTGACAAACTTTATATTGAAGCTGTATTTTAATATGACTGCTTTGAATCCTTACACAGAAATGTTTTGGGAGCTGTTAAATATATCCCCAAAAAAAGCAATAAAACTAGGATATAAAAGTTACACTCACTTGTGTGTTTATAAGCCCTCTAAGAGTTCTTAGGACCTCCCTTCATCTTAACCTGGTGGGGCCAGTCAGTTTTTTAATTACATATGTCTGAAAATTGACCAAAAACATTTCTGTTTTAAGGTTAAGGTAGTTTCTTCAGACATTCCTAATATGACTGGTGATAGCATTTAGCACCTCAGTTGTTTTTTAGTATAGGACCTGGGAAGAACTTTGTCTTTTGAAAAAGAGACAGTGATATATAATGATCAAGGATTCCAAATAATGCAATTATGCTCATGTGTGAGGAAATGGGAACTTGTTTTTGCTAGGAAAATGTCATTTAAAGGATACTTTTGCACACAGCATTAACTAGGAAACAAAAAATTTGAATGCTCTACCTTGCATGAAGTTTTGGTGACATTTCTTTATCTTATTTTTTACGTCTTGCCTTCCCCAGCATAATTGGGCTTGTTCTAAACAATCTCAATTTAATCATTGTCAGCAAAACAGTAGGATGTTTTGCTTGACCAATCCTCTCATTTGAAAAGTCCCACAGTGCAGGGTCTGGCCAGAGTCCAGTGGTATTTCTGGCACTGGTACCTCTCCATAGGATTTCTTTCTAGAGTACGGCACTGTCTCTTGCAGCCAGTCAGGGACTTTTCAAGCTTTTTAAATATAATCTGGCTCAAATGTCTTCTGATGACTTGATGTTATCTGGAGCAGTCTTTTTGTTTTGTTTTGTTTTGTGTGTTTTTTTTAAATGATAATAATGTTGAGTTATTTAGACAATGTAATAATGGTTCTTGAAATTTTAGATGTTTGATTCCATTTTAAGATGACTAATTGAGCTTCTATAACTATAACCACCAGACTCTGGTTGTAAGCATCTTACTGCAACTGTATCAACTGTTCTCAACTTTCCTTTAGTTTCCCTTTCCAGTCAGAGTTGAGGCCTTCCTTGTCTTCTTCTGTGTCTCATTTCTGCCTTCATCTCCTGCTTTTTCACCCAACTCTGCCACTATTCCAGAGTAGGTGACTAAACTTTTATTCTTCCTTAGCTTAACCTTTTTCTTCTTCTGTTTTCAGTCCTCTTCACAGTGGTAATCACATGGGTTTGGCAATCTAAGATGTCTTGGTCAGGAGTCAGCCCTTTTCTATTTGGAGCTGAATCCTTATCTTTCATGTAGAAATCTACATGTATATACAAGAAATGTATTTTTATCTGCAGGATGATATTGTTTCAAATAATTTTATTAATAGAATTAACTTTTCAGGTATTTTCTCTTTTAAGTGTGTTTTTGAAATGTTAATTGCATTTTTATACATGATGCATTCAATGGCTTTTTCCTAATTATTACTCACCTTTGAATGCATTGTGTAAATCAAGTAAGATAGGATTCAATGAAAGGAATTTGATTTTGATGCTTATTAAGAGTAAACCAATGAATTTGAATTTTATATCATGCTTGGTACTTGGAATTGGTATATACTTTATTAAAGCTTGGAAATATTTAGCATTTGAATCGTAACTTTCACCACAAATCATGTCATTTGCCTCTTTTGTTAACCAGGTTCAATCAAAGAAACTGGATGCCATAGTGATTTTTCTCTAGTAGGTGATTTGGAACTTGATTTTAAGGTGTTTTCAATGTGATTTTAGTATTTACAGTAATAAATAAAATTTATACAAGTTTCAGAGAACTACCAACTCTCTAATTTTGGTGAAGATGTTTTGGGTTATAGTCTTGGCTTAGTATTAGTTTAACCTTGAAAGAAGACGTCAGTACTAATTCACCCTTTTCCCTTTTACATCTGCAGAAGTGTTATTTCAAAATGTATAGAAGGACTTTTAGAGTCAGGAGCAAAGCGAGAAGTTCATCAAAGTATGGCCAGTTATTAATAACACTTTTTTTCTGCCATGTGTTTTTTTTTTTTCCCCTTCAAAAGAAATACCAATTACATTTTTTTTTCTTCTTTCAAAAAACAAGACAGGGTCTTTCCATGTTGCCCAGGCTGGCCTAAAACCTCTTAGGTCCAAGTGATCTACGTAGGAGTATTGGGAAGACAGGCATGTCCAATCCCTACCAAGCCCCCACTTTCAAGTATTCTTGATACAAAATTTATACTTACAGAAATGTTTAAGAGAACTTATGATAACAAGACAGAAAAGGGAAAATATCAATGTAGATTTCATTGGGTTTTCTGGAAATTTTCATGTGGTATGATGGGAGTGGCGTATTTGGATTCACTTTCGATGGGTCCAATATTGTGCTCACAAACACAAAATTAAGAGAGCCTGCTTGCTCTATACTTTGAGTCTCGAAATCACCAGATAGAACCCACTTTCAACTGGCCAGTGATTTGAAAAATGTCCAATAATGTAACTGGTGGATGAAAAAGCATATTTAGGTCGATACAAAAGTAAGAGCTAGCATTTACTGAACGCTTACTTTATGTCAGTCACCATTCTAAGTGTTTCCTTGTGTATACATGGCCCTCACCACATTGTGAGGTAAGTATTAATAACCCCCTCTTACGGGTGATAAACAGAGCCACAAAGAAGTAACTTCTTAGGATTAAAAGTAGGATCAGCCAATATCAAAACACAATGAATTGGCAATGAACACAGAGATGGTGCACCTAACATTGCCTATGCTGTGAACCATGCAGTCTTGGGAAAGGCTTCGTGTTTATAGCGTTCTTTTCAGGGTCTTTTGATTATACATCTCTTCAACATGTTATCCAAGTTCAAAAAACCAATTAAAGGCATCACTTGCCTTTGACAATCTAACGCATTCTGGTCTCTGCAGCAAATATAAGTGTCCTGTGCAGCTGAAATAACCATGGTGTACCCTTTTCTGGAGGCTTCATCTTGTGGCCTTGCAGCCAGCCCTCCCTCCAAATCCAGAAAATAGTTTCTGGCCCTGGCGTCACACAACGCAATAGGCCCACGCTTCAGGCAGAGGGCGGGCATATTCTATCGATGTCCCCGATTTGCTGTGGTTATTTTGTGGGTTTAGGAATGAATTAACTTTGTAGAATTGCGTAATACAAGGGACATGTGTCATCCAAGAAACGTGCCTTCAGCACACCTCCATCTTTACAATAAATTAAAGAACGGAGTCCTCAGTACATCAAGAAGGAATCAAGTTGGTTAAGAGGGTTGACAGGGTATTTGGGAAATGAAAATTAAGGCTTACAGGCTTCCATCGGAGAGACTGCTTCAAGTTCACAAACCGGAGGAGTTCTTTTTAAGGGGGGCGGGGGAGGGGTGGAGCTGCGGCTCCCCGGATGTGAAAGACTTGCCCTCCTCTAGCATCCGTGACGTGTGCAGTGCCCAGTGACGCTAAGCCTAGGAGCCACTCAGGCGCTTGCTCCGGGGAAGCTTCCCAGGGTCCTGCGCGTGCGTAACGCCGCCGGCCCTGCCTTCCACCGCCTCAGAGTGAGACATGGTGCTGTCGGAGCTGGCAGCGCGCCTTAATTGCACTGAGTACAAAAACTGGGTGAAGGCAGGACACTGTCTGCTGCTGCTACGCAGCAGCCTACAGGGGTTCGTCGGCCGCGAAGTACTCTCCTTCCATCGCGGACTGCTCGCCGCGGTCCCCGGCCTTGGTCCCCACGCCACCTGCCGTGGCGGCTCCCGGTGCAGCCCGCGCGCTCGCCAGGTGAGCTAACTGGTGCGGAACTTGGGTTGGGCACCTTTCCCCAGCCCGTCCCCAATTCCTTGGGCCCTCTGGGTTTTTCCTTCGTGGGGCGGGGCTGTTTACCACTCCCAAGGGTGTTCCTATTTCGCTGCCCCGCCTATCCGGCTCCCTCCTGGCCCCCGCCCCCTGTAGTTTCAGCCTCACTGTCAAGCGTGCACCGAGTGGAAACGCGAGATCTTGAGGCATCACATCAACAGAAATGGAGACGTGCACTGGGGAAATTGCCGGCCTGGCCTCTGGCCCGTGGACGCCTGGGAGGTGGCCAAGGTAAGTACTTGCAGCCTGAAGGAAAGCAGAAGGTGGGTCACGTGGTGGCCTAGGGCGGAAGGTGGTTTGTGAGTGCAAGCGGGGACTAAAGAAACTGCAAGTACCAAGGGTTTGGTTGGTTCTCTCCGTCTAGTGGCTAGTGGTTAGGAGCTATTAGGGTGGACCCCATCCCAGCTTGGTAAAAGAGAAGCTTCTCTGCCCTTGCTTCCTGCAGGCGTTTGAGCTTTGCTTATTCTTGGAAGCTATAGTACAGACCCAGTAAGAGATGCTGGGGCAAGATGCAGAGTGAAACCAAGTGCAGTGGCCCACGCCTATAATTGCACCATTGGAGAGGCCGCGGCAGGGCTGTTTGGGGCATGTGTTAGTGTTACGCCTTGTCTCAGAAGAAGAGGAAAGACACAGACCCAGGGACATGGAAGTTAATTTTAAGGTGTGCCTTCAGGAAGGCTTCCTAAAAGGTTCATTTTGTCTGTGGAGGGCCAAGAGGATGCCTGGCTAAGGTATTTCTTTTTAGAAGGTGGAAATGTGAGTTATGAGGTAGGGGTTGTTAGGCCTGACTTGAGATTTCTTCACTGTGTCTTGACTGCCTGGGCTGATGATTGAGAATTTGTTTCAATTTCCTGACGTTTTCCAGAAGCTCAGTAGTGAGTGGGAGGGAGGGATCAGAAGTAGCTTCCTATCACAAATGGACCCTGGGAGTTATTGTAGGGGCAAGCACAAAATTGGCAGGTGGAAGGGAGCATTTCCTGGGCTGCAGGTAATATGTTCAGTCTACCTCAGTTCTCTCCCTGTCTTTATCTGGTTTATTAAGGCAAGGTCTCATGTAACCCAGGCTGACCCTGAACTCCTACCCATCCTGCTTTGGCCTTCCAGGGGCCTAGGATTATCCATAGCACTGCTACAACGCCCTTCTCCTGATTTTTTTTTTTTTTTTAAGATTAGAAAGTTTAAATTGGGTTGGGCTGGTGGTGCCTGCCTGTAATCCTTAGCACTTGGGAAGCAGAGGCAGACAGATTTCTTGAGTTTGAGGTCAGCCTGGTCTACATAGATAGTCTCCATTAGGGAGGCCCTGTTTCAAAGGCTCCAGGAGAAGGTTTTATGGCATTAATGTGTAAGTGTAGGCCACCTGCCATCTGGTGCCCACAAGGGCCAGAGGAGGGAATTCGATCCAGTGGCGCTGGAGTAGCAGGTGGTTAGGAGTCTCCCAGCACGAGGAACTGAGCTCCAGTCCTCTGGAGGAACAGTAAGTCCTCTTAACTACTGAGTTGTGTCTCCAGACCCATCACCACCACTACCCACTGTTTTTCATTGCCACCATAGCGTTACCAATCTCTACTTTTACCTATAGCGGGGGTGTGGATGCCTGAAAGAAACAAACCTTGCCCCTTTATTGACCGCCTTTGACCCATTTGGTCTCTGATACAGCTTTCATAGCTTTGCAGCCCTGCTGAAGCCTGTGCCACCTCCTATTGCCAGCCTTTCCCTTGGTTGCTGGTCACCCGCAGACCACTTGGTTGCACCCCCTCTCTAAGTCCAGCATCTCAGTTCCTGGGTTCCCTGGCTTAGCATCTACTCACCACAACCCTGTCCACACATTCTTCCTCAAACACTTGGTTCTGCCCTTTGTCTCCCAGTGCCTCTCAGTTCCGGGTAGCTTCCTTTGCTCCTTGGCTTTGCCACCCTGTCCATCATTATAACTGCTTCTCTGCAATGATGTTTATTGTTTTCTTTCTCTGAACCTGTCTGGCTCAACCCAGGCCCACGTGACACCGTCATATGCTTCTCCTTAAGAAAAGGATCTCTGAAGAGAACTCACTGGTTTCACATCATTCTTTATCCTGAGCCCTAATGCTTCTCTGTGGACTTCCCTTCCTGGAGCTGTCTGTTTCTGCCTTCCCTCATCAATCTCTTCTTCCCGTGCCCTGTCATTCATCCCAGCTGCTAGCTTTGCTCATGCCTCATGGAACTGATGGATACCCCAAGCACAGACTTCGTTGTTTTTCGTTGAACCTACAATTCTACACATATGTTTGTCTCCTCTTTCTGCCAAAAAGTGACTTCCCATTTTCCCTGTACCTCCACTTGTGTGTTGGATCTCATCCCCTCCCATCTGCACAAGGACTTTAAATCTTTAGCTGTTCACTCTTCTGCAGCCTTTTCCCATCACCATACAGATTGCTTTACCATTATCTTCTGTTTAATTTTTCAAAAAGGAAGTGTCTTCGTTAGGGTTACTGTTGCTGTTTTTGAAATACCATGAGTAAAGGGAACTTGGGGAGGAAAGGGTCTGTTTGGCTTATACTTCAATATCACTGTTCATTATTGAAGGGAATCAGGGCAGGCCCTGGAGACAGGAGCTGATGCAGAGGCCATGAAGGGGTGCTGCTTACGGACTTGCCCTTCATGCCTTACTTAGCCTGCTTTTTATAGAACCCAGGACCACCAGCCCAGGGGCAGCACCTCCCACACTGGGCTGGGTCCTCTGCTATCAGTCATGAAGAAAATGCCCTACAGGCTTGCTTCCAGTCGGATCTTACAGAAGTGTCTTCTTTATTTTGGTTTCCTCTTCAGATGATTTTAGCTTGGGTCATATTTATGTACAACTAGGTAGCACAAAGGATTAAGCAGAATTACTTTATATCCCAGCAGTTCTATTCCCAAGTATACACATAAGGTAAAGGGGGTAAAATCAGGACTGTGTTGCTTAGCCTGAGTGAACCCCTAATTTCAATTCCCTTTCCTACCAGAACACTCTCAGATCTGAAAATACATGTCTATAATAAAAAAGAAGATAGAGTTTCATTCTGGGTCTGTGAACAGTAGCCAAAAGATAGAAACAACCCAGTGGTCTGCCAGGCAATGCCTGGATAAACAGAGACTAGGCGATGGAATAGCATCTTGCTGTAAAAAAAAAAAAAAAAAAAAAAAAGGAGTGAAATACACAAAATACAGCAGGGATGAATCTTTCTTAAAAACATAATGCTTTAATGAAAGGAACCTGTCACATATCATACGATGGGAGGTTATTCACACAAATTGCTCAGAATAGGCACGTCTATGAAGGCAGTAGGAGTTCCACAGCTGCTAGAGCCTAGGGGCAGGGGCTGTGATGGCTTATGGGATATGAGGTTTCCTTGGGAAAGGTTTGAGAGGCTCTAAAATTGCCCACAGAGGTAGTTGCTTAAAACCTTTTGATGGAAAACCTGTGACTTAAATACTTCAAGAGGGTATAGCAATTACTTGGTGGAGCTATATATATATCCCCTTGAGAAATACTTTGAAAATAAAAATTAGGGGGACAGAGGATTTCTCTAAATCCATCTGTCCCAGCTCGTTTAGTTCTCTGTTAGCAGAACTTCCTCACAAGGAGGATTTGATGTCTGTTTATTCCTCTGTCCCCACATTGTCTTCAGCTCATGCAACCCGTGCTGCCTCTGCCCCTGCTCCTGTACTGCACCTGTGACCCCTGTTCTCCAGCTTTCTCCCTCTTCCCTCCAAGGCCTTTACATGCTAGAAAAACACTCCTATTACTGTGAGCTACGCCCCCAAGCCTGGATTTATTTAGTCTCTTTATATAGCCCAGTTGGCCTCTTGTCTCAACTACTAGATCTGCAGGTATGCGGCACAGCTCCTAGCTTCATCGTTCCTGTCTCTCAGAGGCATACACCACTCCCCACTGGCCACTTTTGTGTTTCGACACCCCCGCCTCCGTGGCATCTCTTTCTCCTCCTCTCTGTTGATGACCTCGGCATCGTCCACTCTTCTGAGCCACAGGCGTACACATGAGCGGCTTACCTGAGCCCTCAGCTTCATCTGCTCAGCACTGGGCATTTAGTTCCACAGTGGGACTTACTCACCCGATTCCAACTCCAGCAATCTTCCTCCTCCCCTAGATGCCTGGGTGTCGTTTTGCCACACTGGGGCAGGGATCCAGGCCTTCGTGCATGTGGTGTAAGCACACTCCACCACAGGGTTCTAGCTCCGGCCTGTCCCTAGAATCATTCTACCTCCTTAGTGTCCCCTCTTGGAGTCCCCTGGGTTCCCACCTGCCCACTGTTTTTGGAGCCCTTCTCCTCTCCACTGTAGCCTCCCATCTTCTGCCTATATTCTAGTCGCAGCCACCCGCCTGGTTCTCTACACAGTGAGGTGTCTGGGCTTTCATGTGGGACTTTGGTTTGTCTCCTTGTAGAATACTTATGGGAGTATTCAGAAAAACTCCACATTCGCTGCAGAGCCCACCGATGGGGGCCCAGCATGGCCCGTCCTTGTCCATTTCTCCAGCCCCAGCTCCTTGGTGTAGAGCTACCTGGGGGTGGGCATGAGGGTGGGGGAGAGGCTGTCATAGCTATGTGTCTACTGAGTGGAACACGCTGGTGAACAGGGCTGTAAGGAGGCTATAGAGCTTCCCTGTTGGTTCCTGTTTCCAAAAGAGAGGGGCTGATGATCAAAATAAAACCAATACAGCACAACCAGGTTGTTTTTATTAGCAAGAACATGCTGGATAGAATCCACTCTATGGTGGGGAAGGTAAAGCTAGGCTAATTTGAAGGCATTGAGGCCCCCACATAACCGTGTTTTCCCTTCAACAATAGCTGAATTGAGCTGTTTGTTTCCTTTGGTCTCATTATATCAGTTCCCTGGGTAAGTTAGCCTCTTTGTTAACCTCTGTATCATCCCTAATAGACAAAGAATGTTCTTGACAATCTTGTGTTAGTCTGTACACACAATTCTTCTGAGTTATGGAAGGCTTAAGTGTGGGGTTCTCCTACCATCGGAGCTTAATCGCTTTGATTAACCGTTTCCCCCTCTGCTTACTGCCAGACTTTGGAATACCAGTATGATTAGTCCTGTACAAAACATCATGGCTCCTTCCTGACTGGATTGTGTTTATATCTCTCATTTAGAGTTCTCATTGTGAATATAATTTTTTTTTTTGAGACAAGGTCCTCTATATATCCTTTGTCAGCTTGGAACTGTTTAAGAGTAATTTTTTTCATGTGTCTTCTGTTCTAGTCCCTTAGCAGAAATGTACCCTTGGGACTCCTAGTCTGGTATAGCTGTTGCATCCAGGTGTTAAGTTTGCAGATGTTTCAGAAAGAAAAATGTGTTCAAATACTGCTGTCATAGCATTTGTGCAGTTCATTTTAGAAGATTCTGCTAATGGCAGACATAAAGCCTTCCAGTGTGTCTGATGTCTCAGTCCTAGGCCCCTATGTGGCGCCTACTCACCTCATACCATTGACATCATAATCACTGATGCTGCTGACCTCTTTATACCATGTGCTAGGCACAGTGCTCTCCCTGTGTTCACTCACTTCCTCCTCACACCATCCTTTGGTGCAGATGAGAATACTTACCCCTAATGACTGACAAAGAGACTGAGGCCTAGGTAACTATGCCTAAGGCCATAAGAGCAGTGGCCTCGCAGGTGTTTTTAACTGGCTCTGTTGCACTTCTAGTTCTTATGGTGGTGGGTAGAATTTTCTCAAGTCACTAAGGAACCAGCTAGTCTTTTCTAATAGCACAGGCACTGCATTTTTGCCAAGGCAAAGGAAAACGGTATTTACCCTTGTAATATGTACCTCTAAGACAGGGCAGAGGCTGGTCATGGTGGTGTACTCAGGAGACACTCAGGAGACAGAAGGTGGATCTCTGAGTTTAAGGCTAGCCTGGTCTACATAGCAAGTTCCAGATCAGCCAAAGATACATAGTGAAACCCTCTCAGAAAAAAAAGAAGAAGAAGAACATAAAGGACAGGGCTGGGCATGGTGGTACATGTCTTTAATACCAGTACTCAGGAAGCAGAGGTAGAAGGCTCTCAGAGAGTTTGAAGCCACCCTGGTCTACATAGTGAGCTCCAGGATAGCCAGGACTATAGAGAGAGACCCTGTCTCAGGGGCTGGAGAAGAGGTTAAGGGCACTGGCTGCTCTTCCAAAGGTCCTGAGTTCAATTCCCAACAGCTACGTGGTGATTTACAACCATCTATGACAATATCTGGTGCCCTCTTCTGGCGTGCAGGCATGCAGGTAGAACACTGTATACGTAATAAATAAATCTTTACAGCCAAAAGAGAGTGTCCCTGTGTCAAACACACAAACAAAAACAAAACAAAACGAGAGAGCGAGCTAGTTACATCAGCTGTATGTAATACTGCACAGGGATAGTGCAGCGCTTTCGTTAGTGCTGAGGCCGAGGCTGAGCTGTAATGTGACTTTCCCCACTTGCTCCTCAAACTCATGAGATTCTAGCTTGAAATTTCAGGGGATAAGAGAATATTAGGCATATTCCATCGGGAAATGTGGAAAGACTTTGCCTTTCCAGCCCCCCCGAGTTGGCGGACACTCAGGTGACCTAGTACCTTCCGTACTCTAGGCCTTCATGCCCCGAGGACTCGCAGACAAACGGGGACCTGAGGAATGCGATGCAGTCGCCCTTCTAAGTCTCATCAATTCCTGCGATCATTTCATGGTTGACCGGAAGAAGGTCACAGAGGTAAGAACAGTCCGATTGAGGGCTGTCCACCCAGCCCTTCTGGTCAATACTGGGAAGACTAGAGGAAACGCCAGCCTCACGGATGTCGTGTAGCAGCATTGGAAATGACAGTGGCAAAGGAAGACTTGTGTTCAGAGTTGGCATCACTAAGTGGCCCATAAGCCTCATGTCAGGTGTACCCTCTGTGATGTTCAAGAACCTGAGTGTAGTCAGGCACTAACCCTGTGGTTCTCTGCAGTTAGTTTCCTGACAGTTTGTTACTGTGCTAGTCTTAGCCAGTGTTCTATTGCTATCGTGAGACACCATGAGCCCACAACTCTTATAAAGGAAAGCATTTCATTGGGGCTGGCTTTCAGGTATAGAGGTTTAGTCCGTTATCATCCTGGTGGGAAGCATGGTGGCAAACAGGCAGACACAGTGCTGGAGAAGGAGCTGAGAGCTCTACATCTGGATCTGCAGGCCGCAGGAAGAGAGAAAGAGACTGGGCCTGGCTTGAGCATCTGAAACCTCAGAGTCCACCCCCAGTGACACCCTTCCTCCAACAAGCTCATGCCTATTCCAACCTCCTCCTAATAGTGCCACTCCCTATGAGCCTGTGGGTGCCATTTTCATTCAAACTACCACAGTGCTGTTGGCCATTTAAGTAGATAGACCTCGGATTTTTTTTTCTCTGCTCTGCCATAAACAGAAGTAAAATAGTTTTCTATATAAAAATAAGTGTGAGGTATTGGGGATAAAGTCAGTAAAGAACTTGCTATGCAAGCATGACAACCTAATTTTGGATTCTAAGCACCCATGTAAAAACTGGGTGTGGCAGTGCATGTCTGTAACCCCACTACTGAAGGCAGGGGCAGAGGCAGGAGGATCCCAGGGACTTGTTTGGCAGCTAGTCTAGTAGAATCAGAAAGTTCCAAGTTCACTGAGAGACCTTATCTCTAAAAGTAACGGGAAAGTGTGTGTGTGTGTGTGTGTGTGTGTGTGTGTGTGTGTGTGTGTGTGTTCTGGTTATATCTCAAGCCAGAACCTTCCTCTGATGAATTGTTTTAAGACATTTAGGGGAACGATGCAAAACTTTTTTAAAAAGGAAACAAAAACCTTTCTACTGCTGTGATCCAAACACTGTATCCAAAGGGACCTGGAGAGGAAAGGCTTGTTAATCATGGCAGATTCTTCAGCTTCAGCTAACCAGACACCACAGATTTGTAATGCAAAATATTAAATGAGCCCAATACAGTCTTTAAGGGACTCTTCTAAATGCCCCTCTGGAACACTACAACCCCGACTCTTAGTACGCTTATCTTCCAGATTCCCACAGAACAGCCTAGTTCCAAAATCCGTCCACAATCCTCGGGGGGGGGGGGAATGGTTGAGTCTATCGCTGCAATATTTCTGAACTTGATCCCAGTTTCTGTGTTAGGGTTTCTATGGCCGTGATAAAACACCCTGACCAAAAGCAACCTGGGGAGGAAAGGCTTTATTTCAGCTTATAGTTTCACAGCATAGTCCATCACTGAGGGAGCTCAGGGGAGAAATTCAAACAGGGCGGGAACCCAGGGCAGAAGCTGATACAGGGGCTGTGGAGGAATGCTACAGAAGGGGTGATGCCACCCACAGTAGGTGGGCCCTCCCAAATCAAGCATGAAACTAGACCATGGGCCAATCTAATGGAGGTAGTTTTCACCTGAGGTTCCCTCTCCCAAAATGACTCCAGCTTAGGTCAACTTGACATAACCAAAGACATTGGGGTGGGGGGTGATTTCCAGGGCTAAGGCTGGAAGTTTCTTTGCATTTTTTAATCTTCTTTTTGAGGCAAGGTGTCACTGTGTGTGCCTTGAACTCATGATTCTCTTGCCTTGGCCTCCCAAATGTTGTGATCACAAATGCATGCCACCATGACTGTCTACTTTTTTTTTTTTTTAATTTTGAGCTCTATTTATTTTTAATGTGTATGGGTGTCCTGTCTGTGTGTCCGGATGTGCCTCATGTACCGCAGTGCTTATGGAGGCCAGAAAAGGGTGTCAGATCCCTTTGGACTAGAGGAGGTAGAGATGTTACTTGCCCTGTAGGATCTAGAAATCAAACCTCTAGAAGAATAGCAAGTGCCTTTAACTGCTGAGTCATCACTCCTCCCCTTCTTGTATTTCTCTACCTTGGTTCTTACCTGAGTGGCAGTGGGTTGAATAATTCTTTACCCTTTGACAGTATTCTGTAGCCCAAACCTGGCTTGTAGTCTTTATTTATCCTACCTGAATTTACAAAATTATATATTTTTTACATTTATTGCATATGCATGAGTGTACACATATGTGTGTGCGCCATACCTGGTGCCCAAGGAGGTCAGAAGAGGGCATCAGATCTCCTAGAGCTGGAGTCACAGAAGGCTGTGAGCCATGCGAGTACTAGGAACTGAACCCAGTTTCTTTTCTTCTCAAGAACAACAAGTGCTCTTAACCACTGATCGCCATGTTTATTTGTTATGTTTGTAAACACATGTATAGATAGGTATGCTCATGTGTGACTGTAAGAGGACAACTTTCAAAAGTCAGTTTTGTACAGTGTGTGTTGTCCCAGGGATTGAACTCAGATTGTCAGGCTTGGTGACAAGTGCTTTTACCCACTGAAGCATCTCATTAGTTCCTGCCTAGTTATTTGAAAACAATTTTTAAATTCGTTGTTATTAAAATCCGAATTTCCGTCTTCTTTGAAGACGGCTTGGTGACGATGGGGCTCATAAAGCTTTCGTAGCAAAAGCAACAAGTAGCGTGAAAGCCACTGCTTTAGATGGGACCTCCATTCTCCGGTCATGTCAGTCCCCTCTGCCTTCATCTCCCTACCTGCATTTAAGCCAGCTTCCCTAAGCCTAGCACCTGACCCTTGAAAGCACTTCCGTATCTGAGCCACAGGGACCTCACTGCTTGGCAGATGATCTCTGGGCAGGCAGAAAGTAAATAGAGGTCTGATGTAGGGGCTGGCGGCCTTCATTGTCCTCTGTGCCATTTTAAGTACATGCCAGGTCATACAGTGGTCTCATGAAAGGTCCAGCCCTTGCCCTCCGGATACCAGACTACACTAGTCAGCTTTGTAATTTAGTAAAGTCTTTTTGTAATTTTTTGTTGTTGTTTTCGAGACTAATTTCTTTTTAGAGCCACAAGGTCTTAAGTTAACCCTGTTAACTTAAAGAGCTTTTAAAAAGTGTTGATTATGTCAAATTTATTATTACATTTATTTACATTATTACTACATTTACTTGTTGAGGAAGAGGGCCTCTGCCACTCTGCACATAAAGAGGTCAAAGGAGTTGGTTTTCGTCTTCTGTATGAGTTCATTTTCTATTGCTGCAGACCAAAGCCTCCTTATAAAAACAAGCCTTCAATTGGGCGTACGGTTTCAGAGGTTAGAATCTGATGGTAGAGCAAAGCATGGCAGCAGGAAGAGCCAAGCGTGCACATGAACTGCACATAGGAGGTAGAGAACACACCAAAGCCTGACCACACCAATGGCGCCACACAGCTAATGCTTCCCAAACAACTCCCTAGCTGGGGACCCGCTATGCAGACATATGAGCCTATGTGGTTCATTCACATTCACTCCACCTTATCTTCTACCGTGTGGGTTCCTGGGGTTGGGTTCCAATTCTCCAGCTTAGCCACAAGCACCTTTACCTGCTGAGCCATCTCACCAGGCTGCCTTTGAAGGCTCTTCTCTTTTTCTGTAGGTGATTAAGTGTCGGAATGAGATAATGCACTCTTCAGAGATGAAAGTATCATCTGTATGGCTTCAAGATTTTCAGATGAAGATCCAAAATTTTCTAAACGAGTTCAGGAATATTCCAGAGATTGTAGCAGTATATTCCAGGATAGAACAGGTAAAGACTTTCTAGATTTTTTTTGTTTGTTTGTTTGTTTTTTGAGACAAGGTCTTGATGTTAGCCCTGCCTGGCCTGGAACTTGATATATAGACTAGGTTGTTCGCAAACGTGTTTATGGCAATCCTCCTGCTTCTACTTAATGAGTACTGAGATCATAGGTATACACCACCATGCCCAGCTAAAACTTCATTTAACGGTTCTGGTATACAAAATGGAGGGGTCAAAAACATTCACTTAAAATTTGATGTTAAAGCTGGGTACAGGCGTGCATGTAATTCCCGGCACTTGGGAGGCCGAGGCAGAAGGATATTTCAAAAGCAGCCTTTGTTACATACTAAGTTCCTGGGAAGCCTGAGCCTACACAGTGAGACCCCGTCTCAAACAGAAGACAAACCAATTTGCTGCTAACTTAAACTACATTGTCTTTGTTTATTATTGGCGCGATGCCGATGATCGTGCACGCACCCAAGCCCTCCTGAGTGCCAGGCCAGCAACTCTCTACTCCTAGTCTTGATCTTATTCTCTTACTATGTGGAGGAGAGCTTGCTGGGGCTAGAACCTAGGGCTAGGCCTCACACACGGCAAGCACTTCGTCACTGAACTACAGCCCCAGCCCCAAATCACGTTTTATAATGTGAACAAAGGGGAAAAACAATGCTGATATAAAATCTGGAATTAGCAGAGCTGAGTATTTAATGCTAGTGTGTGGTTAAAATCGATTCAGGCAATGGTGTTGTATTATAACTGTTTTGAACAATCCAGTAGAATCTCTTTTTGTTAAAGTAGCTCATTTATTTTGCGTGTATGTGTGCCTGTGTGCCCACGTGGATATGCACAACTGTACGTACACACACACACACACACACACACACACACACACACACAGATGTGTGCATGCCACAGAGCATACATGGAGATCGTTTTATGATATCCAGGAATGGAACTTGGGCCATCAGGCCTGAACTCAAGTATAGGCCCTCGGTTACTGCTCTACAAGTGGCTGAGGGTGTAGCTTGGTTAGTTATCTGTCATAGTTAGTGCCTGAATTTCATCTGCAACACTACAAACACTAATACAGCTTAGGAAATGAACATTTAATGTGAGGTGAATCCAGAAGAAGTTGGGGAGGAGTAGGGAGCAAATATGAGAAAAATATATTGTGTGTCCTAGGAAATAATCAAAGAATTAAAAGACGGTTTCAAACCGGAACTTCAAAAAAACAGTTTGTTGACGTATTTGTGTGTCACCCGACAGCTGCTGACGTCTGACTGGGCTGTTCACATCCCTGAGGAAGACGAACGAGATGGCTGTGAACTTGAAATAAGAGGTTACTTGAGTGTGAACCAAATCCATGAAATCGAAATGGAATTGCTGAAAGAAAAACTGCAAGAGATGTACCTTCAAGCAGTAGAAGAAGAGGTGTTGCCTGAAGAGGTAAAGGGATGAAGAAGGGTGAGAAGGAAAGAAAGACCGTGGCGGCGGCGGCAGCAGTAGTGGCAGCTCATTTTGACACTGTTTCTCTTACTGTGATAAACACCATAAATGAAAGCAACCTAGGGAGGAAGGGGATTCTTTTCGCTCACGGTTCAGGTCACGTTCCGTCCCCCAGGGCAGGAACCTGGAAGTGGGGACTAAAGCAAAAGCCAGGTAGAAAGGATGCTTACTTGCTTGCTCCTCTCCTTGGCTTACTCAGTCTGCTTTTTAAAACAATTCAGGCCCCACCCGCCCAGGGATGTCACCACCCACATGGAATTAGACCTGGGCCTCCCCACATCAATCCTTAGTCAAGAAAATGCCCTTCCCAGGGCTACCCACAGACATATCTGGTGGGGACATCTTCTTGGTTGAGGTTCTGTTGAAATGAAGCTCCAGGCAGGACAAACACGGAGAGCCAGGTTTCTGGTTTGTAAGTCAAGTGATTTCGAGAAGTGCATATTCTTTCAATACTTACGGGCTGTATGTTTCAGTGGGCATTTTCACTTAGTAAGAGTTGAGAATCCAATATGTGCCCCAGAGTGAAATAGTGCCATAAGAGCTACAACAGAATTCAGAACAAGGTGCTTAAATGGTTATCTGCTGTCAGGGGACTCTTCCCCCACCCCCGCCATCCCAGAAAAAGGAAAAGATGCTATTGAGCTCTAGCTTCTAGCTCAAGGATTTAGGAAAAGGTCAGTAGCTAGCCTGGAAGGAAGGCTGCTCTTAGCAGGATTGTGAAAGGCCAATTAGTTTGGGCTAGGCAGTGGTCAGGAAAGCACAGGCGGTATGGTTAGGGAGGACCGTGGCAAGGTAGGACGAAACTGTCTTGAAAGATTTTTTTTTTTTTTTTGTGCCACTCCAAGCTGTTTGGACCTTTGTCCCTAATAACCATATGGAAACAACAGATCTTTATAAGCCAAGAAAACACTAGGGTCAGAAGTGGATTTTAACAGGTAATAAGGGTTAAAAAAAAAAAAAAAAGTGCAGCCTCCCATGTACAGCAGGTCTGCTACCCCTGGCCCTGGCAACTATATATTTCTAGTTCTTCTTACCTGTTAGAGTCAAGAGAAAAGGTTAATTAGCCTGTCTTCTGGGCAGCAGGTCTCTATGTAGAAAAGATAAATTTCCATTTTTCATGCCTTTTTGTTCAGTAGTCCATGGACTGTTTCATATCTCAGGTAGTGAGGTCGCTACAGGTGGACTGTGAAAGGGAGTTTGGGCTTAGGTGGCTGGAGGAGTGATACCTTTAGCATCCTTTACTTGGAACAGTACGCAAGCAAGCACACGTATAACTGACGTTAGCAAATTAATAAGCCTTTTTAAACGAGTGTGTGCCAGACACAGTGCTAAAGTATTCTTAATAGACTCTTGAACCCACCCCTCAAAGTCTCCTGGCTCATAGTAATATTGTCATCATTAATTTGTAGAAGGGAGTTAGGAACCGTCCCACCCAAACTCCTACAGCTAGTTAAAGTAACAAAGCCTAAATGACCACGATTTCCCAGAACTTTCAGGTTTTCATGTTTACTTCCTCTTCCCCTTTACATTTGAGCTTCCCATTTCTCCCCACCCCCACCCCATTTTTTTTAACTTTTTATTTTTCAGAGTCTCCTGTAGCCCAGGTTGCCTTCAAACTCATTGTGTAGCCAAGGAGCTCCTCACCTTCTTGACTGCGCCTCCCACGTGCTAGCTTTTCAATGCCTTAGATCATCCTTCTTAAGAATTTTAGTCGATTGCATTTTACAGCACCGAGGATGAAGCCCAGGCTTTGTGCTTTCTCTTTGGAGACAAGGTCTCACTAGTAGCACACTTCAGGACAAAGCCTCCCCTTTAATCTGCCTTGCCTTCAAGCTGGAGCAGTCACCCTGCTAAAGCCATGAAAACCCTTTTAAGCACGTTCATTGTGTCTGTGTTTGTCGCTTTCACAGAAGGGAAAAACTGGTACTCTGTTTCCACTCAAGCCAATGTGGAACAGAAAAGAAAGCTGGAAACAGGCCGTGGAGGAGGACAGAGGGTTCTATGTAAAAGCTTTAAGCAAAAAAGAGCTAAGCAGAATGGTGAGGACGCATTTGGGGGCTGCAAAGAGACTCACACCTCCTAGGAAGCCAAGGTTAAGGAGCTTGGTGTGCTCTGAGGGGCTGGCTGGCTGGCGTGGTATCTGCATGAGCTATGAGCTACTCACAGCAGACAATCCTGTGTCTGGCCAGGGCAACAAGCACAATCTAGAAGAGCCTATGCTTATTAATACATGCCACCTGGGCCCTTGACAGTTTTGTTTCCGGGAGGTAGCCAAAGCCTGGCATTTTGTAGGGGCTCAGGGCAGGCTTTCAGTCTTCTCCCTAACACCTCCACCTGAAAGTCAGTCTCCTTTGTCTGCTTTCTAACCAGTCAGCAGGCCTCCTGTCACCCTCAGCATCTGCCTGTCCATCCCTACTCCAGCCTCACTAGTTTTTCCTCCCACATCTTCGGCATCGACCACCTGGCTATTGGAGTCTTATAACTTAAACGCGTGCTGAGATGTCACACTGGTCCTGCTGTGTCCCAGTCCCTTCTTCCTTCACTCCAAAGCCGAAGGGCTGCCTTTCCACTGCTGTGCTGTGCTAGTATTCCTCACGAGAGTTTAAATAATCTTGAGTTTGAGCGGAGTTGGTAGTCCCCCACCTAATAAACAAACATGCTGGATCCCCTCATCAGAGTTCTGTTGGGGTGAAGAATTTAGCCCAGTGGTAGGCAAGCTTAAGGCCCTGGTCCACTTCCCCAGCACCATCAATATAATGCTGGCATTTTTGTAACAAGCATGGGAACCAATGAAGGCATTCTAGGAAAAGAGTGTAGACACTCTCATAGTGCTACTCTGAGCTTCCTTGTCCTTGCTAAAATGTCCGTGGTTGGGTGATTTAAACCAGGGTAATCTCTATGCATGAGAGTTCTGGCTAACTCCAGTAAAATGAGGACAGACGCCACTCAATCAGAGTTAAAGCTGCCTTCTATTTCTACAAACAGAAATGTCCTTCGTGGACGTGGCATATGTGTGAGGGTAAATTCCGCATGGCGGCTTGACCGAACAAAAGGTTTAGAATGTGTTAAAAATGGGACCTACATAACTGGAATACCATTCAGCCATTACACATCAGGCTTAGGGGGCTGAAAAGATGGCTTAGAGTGCTAACTGTACTTGCAGAGGGTCCAGGTTTGCTTCCTAGCACCCACAAAATGGCTCCCGGTCAGTTTGTAACTCCAGTTTCAGGGGAATCTGATGTCCTCCTCTGGTTTCTCCAGTCACTATACACACACACACACACACACACACACACACAACACTCATACAACACTCATACACATATATCTAACAAAATAATGAGACTTGAGGCAGGAGGATCTTATGTTTAAAGCCAGTCTAAGGTAAAGAACAGGAGCCTGACTCAAAATATATATACACTTCTATTTTTCTTGTCTGTCTGTCTATTTATTTCTGGGTGGTGATGGTGCACACCTTTAAATCTCTGAGTTTTAAGGCAAACCTAGTCTATAGAGTGAGTTCCAGGACAGCCAGGGCTACACAGAGAAACCCTGTCTCAGAAACCCAACATTAAATATATTGAACTCTTTGCTACTAGTAGATTCAGAGGGAGAGGGAGAGTCATTGCCTGCAGTTGTGACCTTAGCAAGCTCCTGTGGGTAGCGTCAATCTGATGCTCACACAGATGGCCCCAAATCTAGTCATGAATCTAGGAGCAGGATAGTTAGGGAGGAATTGGAGGATGAGAGGGATGAAGTGGGGCGGGGAGAGGGCGGTCGGAATGCATCATAAGTGTGTGAAATTGACAGAGAACCAAGTTAATCGATAAAAAAAGTGTATAACACAATGAAATGTTCTTTCTAGTCTCCCACAGAAGAGATTACTTGCACTCTTGTGATTTTTAAAAATGCATGTATACAAGCACATGACATGTCTTTGGAAGAAAGAGATGGCTATGGTCACCTATAAAGGAGAAAATGGGTTAACTAAGGGCAGATTTAAAAGGTTGACTTTTTTGAATGTCATGCCCTGTTGACTTGGAATTTTGATATGTATACATTTGATCCGCTTTTATAGATTTATCTTCTATCAGTAATACTTGCATAGGCACAAAACTTCCAAAGCATTAAGTGAAGACTTTGCCTATAAATTGCAGTTTTGAAGCAAACACCCCCTATGTGGTCTCAGACTTAGTCAATACTGGATGGTGTATGGTTTGAGTGGAGAATGCTTTTTTGTTTTGTTTTATCTATTTATTTGTACAGACCTACAACTTGTCATCTTCCTACCTCAGCCTCCCAACTGTTGACTTTAACAGGTGTGAAAATCCACACCTGCCTGAGTGCGCCCTCTGTGTGTGTGTGTATGGGGGGGGTTGTATTGTCTGTCTGAGACAAGGTCTCATGCACCTCTGGCTGGCCTTCACCTCGCTTTGTAGACCAGGCTGGACAGAGAATTCACAGAGATTCACCTGCCTCTGCCCTCCCCCGTGCCGGGACAAAGGTTTGAGCCACCACATGTGGCACAAGGGTGCCTGGTTTTAAAGGTTGTGTTTGCTTTTGATTCACACACCTAACCTACGTTTGGATGGGTGTGCCAGAAGCCAGGGTCTGTGTCTCATGGTAGACGTATAGTGTAACAGTTACCCCGGGGTTTTTCCTCCTGCAGCTCTCGAATCAACTGGATGCGGTGAGAGGATTCCTGAGAAACAACACCGATCTTAGAAATGACCTTACAGAAGACATGCAGAAGCTAGACGGCCTTCATCTACAGCATCAAAAACCGATTTCAAAGGATGCGGGGAGACAGACCCCCTGAAAGGAAGGCTTGAAGTGAGTTTAGGTACCAGATGTTGAAGAGGGATGCAATTACCTCATCCCTTTGATGTCTCTCTTATGGGAAGCCCCATTGAACCAACAGTCTCCCTTGCTTTTCCCTGTTCCCTTACAATTACAAAGGAAGGCCGGCTATGGTGGTGTACACCTTTAATGTCATCATCTGGGCTGCGGGGGTGGGAGACCGATCCAGGTGGATCTCTATGAGGCCAAGGCCAGTCAGGTCTACAGGGCAAGACCCCCGTCTTGAAACAAACAAAACATCCAAACCTCTCCAAAAGGCCGGACAGCTGGCCGAGTGCCCATTGGGTGGTTAAGGACTCACATACCTGTGAAGCCTCAACTCTCTGCAGCATGTCAGCCAAATATACCCGAAGCCAAGGTCTGCTGTTAGCTGACCCTGTATATCATTTGTAACTTGGCCAGAAAGCATTCTGCCCACAGGTGCTGCCAGGGAGGGCCAGCTCCTGCTGTGGCATTAATTATGCTTGGCTGGTGTACATTAGAAAGCTGATTAACATAAGCAGCTCTATTTTGTTGGGTTTTTTTTTTTCCTCCCAAATAATATGAATAAAAATACTCTTTTATTTTACATGGTCCCTAGGCAAGATCCAGGCATGTTTTGTGAAAGTCAGCCTGGCCTCCGGGTCAGGCATCCTCTGAACAAAAGGGAAACGTTTCCAAAGCGCATGAGTTGTTTTTTTTTTGTTTTTTTGTTTTTCTTTTTTGTTTTTTTGTTTTGTTTTTGTTTTTGTTTTTGTTTTTGTTTTTTTGTCGTCCTGGCCTTTCCCATAGTGTTTCAGAGATACTTTCTTCATATTCACCAACTCGGAATTGTGTGAGGTGTAGTCAGAAATACCAGTCTCCTGCTGGGTTTTTTTGCTATCACCCAGGGAGTTTTTGCCTGTCTCGAAGGTGAGTGTTTCCTGGTCCTAAACTGTAGCTGGTGAGGACTAGGTCTGTGTGGAGTGACCTGCCCCTGACAGAGCTGTATGCACCCCCTGCTTCTGCCTTGAAGTTTTACTCTGACGGGGCCAAAGAGTGGGCTCAATATGTGACCAAATTTATTTTTTTTCTTCCGATGAAGGTAAAAGAAAAGTGGCTGTTTTGTACCATTTCTCCTGAGCGTGGAACTGTTGCTTCTGGGCTCGAGTAGCCGCGGACAGTAGGGAAGGGATGGCCAGGCTGCTCAGTGGTAGGCTAGAGAACAGTTTGACTGAGCAATGGCAGGGAAGGGCCCAGACCACTGTCCCAGAAGGGATGCCTGGAAAAGGTCAGTTGTCCGTTTTCTGGGGACAGGGGCACAGATGAGAAGTTAAAATCTTACCAAAGTTGAGATAGCTTATACCCAAGTAGACCTCAACTACTTGGAAGGCTGACATGGGAGGATCCCAAGTTCTAGGCCAGCCAGGGCAACTTAATGAGACCCTATCAAACTAAAAGCAAATCATAAAGAGGTAGAGGTATGCTATGTTTGCAGAATATTTGCTTACTATAGCAGGCCCTGGAGTCGGGCCTCAGCTCCCTGTCCCCCAAAGATGAAGCAGACACCCCTTGGTTCCAGTGCCTCCTGAGCAGTGTGCCCCCTGTGCTGAGTACAGGCCCTAGGCCTCATGCTCCATGAGTGCTTGCTTGTGAAAATGCTAGTTACACCCTTAGCTAAGCCAGCTCTCATTCTGTAAAATCTGAAGTTTCATCATTCTTACAGATACTCAAACAAATCACTGTCTCTAAACATAGTCATAAATTCATTCACAACGCCTCTATTTCCTTTTTCGATTCCTGAACAGTTTAGGAGCCTTACCATTGTATGCTCTGTTCTTGTGGGAGTCAGATTCACTTTCCCTCCATCTGCTCATTTCCAAGGTCTGTGGCACTAGACTGTTTTGTGTCACTTCTGGACGTTGCTGTATTCCCAAAACTACCTGGAAGAAACACTCCATGCCAAGGCTCAGCAAAGATGAGTTCATTCCCTCACTTGGCCACCTGCCTGTCCGAGAGGGACCCTGCGGAGAACGGGTTGTCAATACAGACTGGATTCGGCATGTATTTTGACTTCAGAACCCAGTCAGTGCAAATGTGCCTGCAGCTTGCTTATTTAGTCTCCCTGATTGCTGTTTGTTTTTCACTCTTATGTCCTCATTCTTCCTCTATTTGTGAAGTTCCTTGAGAAGACTTCAAGAGTAAAGCAAAATTTTGCATTTATTTTTGTCAAAGAAAAAAAAAAAAAAAAAAAAGACAGTCATGAAATGTCTATTCCCGTCTAGATCTGAACTAGAAAACATGGAGTCTTGATTTCCTAACCCATGAAGACACGGCTTCTAACTGTAGCAAGTTTGAGATCGGGACCTTTCATTTTCCACCTGTGTCTAATTTGTCCTTACCAGTCCTTCACACACTTACCAAATGTCAAGCCTGTGCCAGCCACTGAAGTTGATGCAAATGTAATGAGCGGTGACATCCTGTCTGACTGCCTTTGTCTTCCACTGTGACAAATCAAAGGTATTGTTCAGGAAAGTTGACACTAGTAACATTCCGTTGAACTGAAACAGAAGAGAAGACACTTATTTAAAAAGGGCTCCAAAGTAAGTGCGGCCTCTCCAGAGGCATCATCCTGTAGACATCTCTTCAGCAGCACTGCGCATCTGGACACAGGGTCTGTATGAACAGACGCTTCCCACAGCATTCGTACCCAGCCACTAGTAGAGAGGACCTCCTGAGCAAGGCATAGAACATCTGCACTCCGCCACATAACTGTTCGAGAGAAGGTGCCCAGACTGCAGTGCAGGAATACGAAGTGCCTGTAAGACATCTAAAGGAGTAGTTTGAGAGGGTGGGGTGGAATTCCATGGTGGGGCACTTGCTTGCCCAGCATGTATGAGGCCTTCAGTCGGATCCCCAGTCCCCTACCAAAGGCAAATAGAAAAGAGAAGTATTTAATAATACCCAGCATGCTGTAGCGCTGTTTTGTATGGTATGATAACAGGCCTGGAAAGGTCTGTTTTTTTTCCAAGTCTGTATGCTGTATGTTAGGTCTGGGAGAGGAGTTGGAGCTGTGGGGAATGGTCAGAAGGAATTTAGCTCTTTCTATTTTGTATAATCTCTTTATAATAAACATGCACTCATGTACGTTGACATTTTTATCAGTTTTTAACTTTAAAACAATACATATGAACGACATATACCAAATTACAAGCCTTCTGTTATCTGATTACATGGATTTTGCCGTTGCCTCCTTTCTGTAGCTCCACCTTCAGGGGTGCTTTCAAATCCTAGCACCAGGGAAGCCCAGAGAGGGTATGCCTTCTACCTAGGCTCCCTTCATCTCCCTGTGGAGTGCCTTGTCTCCATCCAGAAGTATGGTTTACACTCAGTCTCTCCCTGGGACACAGTGCTTGATAGTTTTGAAAGAATTTGTAAAGAAAAATGACTATAGTTGCAAAGATAAGGCAAGGTTCTTAGCTTCAGCCTTTTCTTTATCAGGAAATGACTTAAGGGAGTTGTTGACCAGCACTTCTGGAAAACTGCTGAATTGGAGAGGGTTGCTGGCTTCCTAAAGTCGTGGGAGGGCTCTGGAGATGGTTTTACATTCCCAGGGTCTGGAAGGATTATGCCTGTGAGGATTACGAGATGATTGTTAACTCTAATAACTTGAAGAGTTGGTTTTTATTGAAGTATTGGTTACTTAAAAAGTAGCATTGGTTACTTAACTTAAAGACTTCCTAGGTAACAGAGGGCCAGCTGTCCTCGGTGGCCATGTTAGAAATTAGGTAAATGAGCTTAGTGCTGTATCAAATTAGAGTGGAGTTGTGCAGTCTTTTAGATCAAGTCTCTAAGCTTTTTGACCTATAAATTCTAATTGTACTGATAAGGAATTATCAGCAGAGATTACCTCCTTTCCCTTTACCAGGTTAATTAGAAACTTACCTGCGCTGAAAAGCCCTTCACTCACCAGTGGCCTTTATTACAATATATTCAAATTATGAGATCCACTGTGTGAGACATGCCTCAAATATTAATTTCTACCCATGTGATACTCAATAAAGTGAAAAAAAATCCTTGAATGTTTTAATAAGAATCTGAACCTAGTTCACTTTGCAACTTGAAGGACTTGGTTTGTATTATTGCAACATAGTCAAGGCCCATGCTCTGACATACGCACGTTAGTAATGAGCATAGAATTCTCTAAACTGAACATTTTGTGACAGTTCTTTGCGGGGTGAGTCTATATCACTGTACTGACTATCAGAAAGGGGCGGCGGTGTTTTGTTGTTTTTTTTTTTTTTTTTTCCAGAACTTTGTGTGGTAGGTTTGGGACCTCCTCCAAACCTCCAGATGTGATCCCCAGTGAGCCCTCCCTACTGCTATTCCACAGTGAACCAGGGTTGGTTGCTGAGCATAGCCAAAGTGATGAGGCAAAGTGCTTAAGCCACAACAACAGTAAGCTGTCTGTGTCAGCAACAATCTTCTGGAGCTGTCTGCAGGAGAACAGAGAGCTGACTCTTCCTACAAACACCCATGAACCCGGAAATCGATCTTCTGGCCGGGCTCTGCCTCAGAGATCACACCAACTGTGAGATAGCGTGTGTTGTCTTAAGCTGTTCAGTTGTGGGGCGGCTGGTTACACTGTGACAGGCAACTAATATCCTGTCCTATAATTTGTTCCCGAACCTCCACCCTCAGAATGTGAGAGGGACTCTTCCCACAAACAGAACTGAAGTTTAGATGGCTTAGAGGCTGCAGAAGATGAGATTTCCTGGTGCTTTCCCTGGAATTCCGCTGTCGGGCCTGTCCAAGTCAAGAGCTGATGGCTTCAGAGCCTCTCAGAAGCATTTCTCATTTCTTTGCATTGGCAAACTCGAGCAGAAGCAGGTTCAGCACTTCTGAATACGTGTACTGGGACCTCCAGAAACCACATGGGCCTTCCTCTATCCAGAGAATCCTAGGCAAGGCACATGTGGCTCAAACCCCAGAGGACAAGCTATCAGAGCCATGATAATCTCATCTCACAATCTCCGTCTTCTCTCTTCACAAGCTCTCTGCTTTAAGATATCATTCGCACCCAGAGAATTATCAGGGGCTGTTCCGAGCCACTGCTGCTGCAGTGGCTCTCACCCTCCATCTCTGGCTAGTTTTCAACCCTGGGGCAGGGCAGATCAATTACACAAACGGCTGTGATTTTCCACTTTAAAGGGTAAATAAAATGCATTGTGATTTGGGCATGTTCACCTAGAACTTTTAAGAACCGACAGAAACCATTCTGAGTCCTTCATCCCATCTCCACGGCAGCTACCATTATTTATTTCTCTTGGGCACCAAGAGACGCTAGACTCTTAATAAGTAGATCAAAATCTAAACGGGGATTTCACTATTATTCATTTAAAGCCACTTCTGAACATCTCCCTCGACAGAAACAACGCCCCCACCCTACCCTCTTTGGTGTAGGGATTTGTCACTACCAAATCTTGAGTCATCTGTGGCATCGAACACCTTTCTTTGCCCCGGGCACCCAACAGCCTGTTCCCTAGAGGGGTTTGGTTTGGTTTTGTTAGCAAAGCTGGGAGGAGATGGTTTGGTTTTCCTCCTGTCTCCTTGTCTTGTCTAACCCTGAAGTCATTGGAAGAGAGAGACCCACCAACCTGCCCTCCCTACTCTCACCCAGGAAACTCTTTCCCTCCTCCGTTCACCAAACAGGCAAGACTCAACATCAATTTGATGCTTTTTTGATTAACCAAACTGCAGGTTTAAATTGGGTTTGTAAACCAAAGTTTTCCTTGGCGCCCATGAACAGATGTGCCAACAGTTTCACGACAGCTGAGCGTGGCGGCAGCGCGGCAGCAGCATGTGGGACCCAGCATGCTTTACGGCTGAGGCACCAAAGCACAAAGGCGCTGGCCGTTGCCACGTCAGGAGCTTCTGTGAAGTTGGCATTCTGTGCTTCATTGTTGGCTGGCAGTTTGGCCGTTGGCACTCTGAGGCTAGCATGGCGGGGCTAGCAGTGCTAGTTCAGAAAACCCGAGACTATATAAAGACCAAGGAATTCCGGGATTACATAACCAGCACCCACTTCTGGGGTCCTGTGGCCAACTGGGGCCTTCCCCTTGCCGCCTTGAGGGATATGAAAGCACCTCCCGACATCATCAGTGGCCCCATGACTACGGCACTCACCTTCTACTCCATGGCTTTCATGCGCTTTGCCTACCGGGTCCAGCCTCGAAACTACCTGCTGTTGGCATGCCATTTCACCAACTTCTTGGTGCAGAGCTTACAGGGGAGCCGCTACCTGAAACACCGCTACAGCGCCAGAGCCACGGCCAAAGCCAGCAACGCTCTGGACAAATAAGCTTGATGACTGGGGAATATGAGAGGGGTAGCCTGAGCCAGACTTTGCAGCTTGCAAGCACTGGACATAGCTCCTCCTAAAGAAAAGCCAAGGAAAACTTTGGTTTACAAACCCAATTTAAACCTGCAGTTTGGTTAATTAAAAAAAGTATCAAATTGATGTTGAGTCTTGCCTGTTTGGTGAACGGAGGAGGGAAAGAGTTTCCTGGGTGAGAGTAGGGAGGGCAGGTTGGTGGGTCTCCCTCTTCCAATGACTTCAGGGTTAGACAAGACAAGGAGACAGGAGGAAAACCAAACCATCTCCTCCCAGCTTTGCTAACAAAACCAAACCAAACCCCTCTAGGGAACAGGCTGTTGGGTGCCCGGGGCAAAGAAGGGTTTTCGATGCCACAGATGACTCAAGATTTGGTAGTGACAAATCCCTACACCAAAGAGGGTAGGGTGGGGGCGTTGTTTCTGTCGAGGGAGATGTTCAGAAGTGGCTTTAAATGAATAATAGTGAAATCCCCGTTTAGATTTTGATCTACTTATTAAGAGTCTAGCGTCTCTTGGTGCCCAAGAGAAATAAATAATGGTAGCTGCCGTGGAGATGGGATGAAGGACTCAGAATGGTTTCTGTCAGTTCTTAAAAGTTCTAGGTGAACATGCCCAAATCACAATGCATTTTATTTACCCTTTAAAGTGGAAAATCATAGCCGTTTGTGTAATTGATCTGCCCTGCCCCAGGGTTGAAAACTAGCCAGAGATGGAGGGTGAGAGCCACTGCAGCAGCAGTGGCTCAGAGCAGCCCCTGATAATTCTCTGCTGGAGGTGGGCCTGTCCTCCTCACCCCCCCCTCCCCCTGTTGTGATGACCCAGGCCATTTTTCTTCAGTTACTTGGTTCATCTGGCCTGTAACTCCATGGCAATACAATTTCTCAAGCAGGTACAGAATTTTGTCTTTACTAATATGAAGCCAGTGTGCCATTTCACCCCTAAGTATTTTAGCATCTGTGTCTCTTTTGAACAATATTTGCCTGCCTAGCCACAATACTATCAGCCACTCATAAATATTCAGGTCTATTACAGCGCGGTTAGCTGATATCCAATATATATTTAAATGCTAGAGCTTGAAGGCTGTCTTTGTTTTCTTTCCTCTCATTCTTGTTAGAGAGGACAAACTCAAAAGCCAGTCAAAATTCACCTTTGATTTACTCCTTGGGTTAATTTCCTTTAATCTAGGGTGGTTTTTTATTTTATTTTATTTTTTATTTTATTTCATTGTCTTCTGTAGTGTTGATGTTATTGAAGAGTCCAGCCCATTGGCTCTCCAGACTGTCCTTAACTTGGATTTGCGGGTTTTTCATGACTCAGTTATACACATTTCTTTTTGTATTTGTAAAACAAGAGCACCAGGTTCTCCTGTGTCTTTAAATGCATCATCAGGGAAGACACCTGCTGTCAGTTTGTTCCCTCATTGGTGGTAAGCTGGATACTTGGTTAAGGAGTTGTCTGACAATTTCTCCATTGTAAAGGTTGTTTTCTCCCCTCATGGATCAACAAATAACCCTAGGCACTTTGATAGTATATGAGCACCGTATTCTCCAACAGGTTTCTATAGAAACTTTTCCCAACATAATCTTTTTATTGATTATTTGGGAATTGCACACAATTCACCTTCTCACCCTTGTTTCCCATTCTTCCCGAGTTTCGCCCTCCCACCCTAGTGCCCTTCCTCCCACAAAAAGACACGCCAAGTCCAATCTGTGCTGACCATCCCAGAGTATGCTCAAACTCCCCATGGCCAGCCCCTTAAAGAGAACTGAGTCCTTCCTCTACCCCACCCCCACATGCCAGAAACTACACTTCAGCATCCCATTTTTAAGGACTTTCTTCACTGGCTTGCTTCCCTCCCCACCCCCGTTGGTGTGATTGTGGCAGCAGGGGTGTGTGTGTGTCACAGAACCCTTCTGTGTCTCAAGCAAAAGAAGCTTCCTGGCCCATAACAGGCAGCAGCAACATGGACTCCAGATACCAATGTGGCCTCTGGCAGCAGCACAGACCATGAAGGTCTTCCGAGGAGGCCCCAGTCCAGAAAACGAACTGCTCGCCATCTCGGACATCCTGCTGTACTCCCATCACCTCCTGTACCCCTTGCCTCTGCGTCTGTCGTTTGACCACCACCTGCCACACACAGCTCCGCTTCGGCCATCTTTCCTTCCGGTTTCATCAGTCCGGTTTTTAAAAGCATTTTCCCGTAAGACCCGCCTTTTCTGAGTTGTTCCGGTGATGCTGTGGGCTCTGCAGAGGCCTCCTCGGCTTATGAGTAGCCCCCATCATAGCCTCCGTGGGTCTCGGGCTCCCTGGAGGTTCTCCACAGTCCCTCAGATGACAGTGCTGCTGCCATTTTGAATCCAATCTCCATTATAGTTTTTGACACCTGTTAATGAAATTCTCTTTTCTGAAGGCTTATTTTGTTTTTTTGCACATGCATATATGTACATGTTTGCCTGTGGTATAGGGGGCCAATGGAGACCAAAAGAGGGTGTCTGATCCCCCTGGAACTGGAGTTAGAGGTGGTTGTCAGCCACCAGACATGGGTGTTTGGGAACTGAACTCAGGTCCTCTGGAAAAGTGGCAGACACTCTTAACCACTGATCCACTCTCCAATCCCACTGAAAATTATAAATTTGGTGGTTATTTCCCTAATGATTTTACTTTGTCTAATAAAAAAGCAATTGTTGGGCTAGAGAGATGGTGCAGTGGTTAAGAGCACTTGTTGCTCTTGCAGAGGACCAGGGTTCAATTCCCAGCACACACATAGCTTCTTGGAACCATCTGTAACACCAGTCCCAGGAGATCTGAAGCTCTCTCCTGACCTTCAAGGGCACAAAGCACGCACATTTTACACATATATACATATAAGCAAAATACTCATACACATAAAATACATCTTAAGCTAAAAAGTAGCAATTATTGAAAAGTAATTCAATATGCATTAAAATAGTAATGTCTCGCGCTGGAGAGATGGCTCGGAGGTTAAGAGCACTGGCTGTTCTTCCAAAGGTCCTGAGTTCAATTCCCAGCAACCACATGGTGGCTCACAACCGTCTATAAGGTCTGGCGCCTTCTTCTGGCCTGCAGACAGGATATTGTATAAATGATAAATAAATAAATCTTAAAAAAAATAGTAATATCTCCTGTGTTGATTTACAAGCAACCTTAAAAGTTCATGTTAGGGGGCTGGAGAGATGGCTCAGAGGCTAAGAGCAGTGGCTATACATCCAAAGGTCCTGAGTTCAATTCCCAGCAACCACATGGTGGCTCATAACCATCTATAATGAAATATGGTGCCCTCTTCTGGCATGGAGGCCTACATGTAGGCAGAATACTGTTTAAATAATAAAGAAAATATATTTTTTAAAAGTTCGTGTTATTTGTGTCTTGCTGGAGCACAAAGGTCCTTGCACCCACAGATCTCCAGGGAAAACAGAAATGTTAAGCACCCAGGATTGTTCTTTCAAAGGGAAGGAAATCTAACCCGTTTTTTTCCAGAAGGCTAGGAACTGGAGGTGATGAGTAGCCCAGTGATCTGGGTTCTCTGTTGGGCCCAGACATATCAAGCTCCTACAACCAAAACTGGAGGTGGCTAGTAATTAAAATGACCCTTACACATTACCTATACAGCCAGGGGTTCTCCAAGCTCCTTCAACCAGGAGCAGAGGTGGCTGATAGCGCGAATGACTTCTACTTCGTATGACTGAGACCAGGTTAGGTCCTTCCTTAAGCTAGTACTTAAGGAAGTACTAGCTATATCTTGAACCTATCTTGGAAGAAATGGCATGCACTTCTTGTGTACTGGGGATTGTGTTACGCCAGGAAACTTTTCCCCAAATTATATTGGGTTTAAATATGCTGGCAATAAACTGCCTGAAATCAAACTCTTGAGAAGTTTGACAGGTCAGCCTAAACTGAGTTTTTATTCTCACCTCTCCAGGGTTCGTTTTCCTGCCTGTTGTCATGCCTGAAACCCCCCTCAGTGTATATTTACATCTCAGCTACTTCATAAATATATATTAAAATATATAGTATAGCCAACAGAGTGATAGATACTGCACTTGAAAGGCTTGGGTTATTAGTCAGGGTTCTCTAAAGGAACAGAAGTAATACAATGAATATATATGTATATATATATATATATATATATGTGGGATTTATTAAACTGGCTAATTAGGGTGTGATCTGAGCAGTCCAATATTGGTTGTCTCATGGTAGAAAGGTTGAGAATCTGGTCATTGTTCAGTCTATAGGGTTGGAGGGCTCAGCAGTCTCAATTTGGAGCTAGAGGCCTGGAGGATTCCTGAAGCCAGACACACTAAATTAGTTAGAAAAAAAAGTGGGGAAGAGCCTAGAACTCATTGGCACAGGAGACAACTTCCTGAACAGAACACCAACAGCACAGGCTCTAAGAGCAATAATCAATAAATGGGACCTCATGAAATTGAAAAGCTTCTGTAAAGCAAAGGACACTGTCGTAAGAACAAAAGGACAGCCTACAGACTGGGAAAGGATCTTCACCAGCCCTGTATCTGACAGAGGGCTGATATCCAGAATATAAAGAACTCAAGAAGTTAAACAGCAACAAATCAAGTAATCTAATTAAAAAATGGGGTACGGAGCTAAACAGATAATTCTCTGTAGGGGAATATAGAATGACAGAGAAACACTTAAATGTTCAATGTCCTTAGTCATCAGGAAAATGCAAATCAAAATGACCCTGAGATTTCACCTTACACCCATCAGAATGGCTAAGATCAAAAACTCAAGTGACAACACATGGTGAAGAGGTTGTGGAGAAAGGGGAACCCTCCTCCATTGCTGGTGGGAATGTAAACTTGTACAACCACTTTGGAAATCAATCTGGTGCTTTCTCAGACAATTAGGAATAGGGCTTCCTCAAGATCCAGCTATACCACTCCTAGGTATATATCCAAAAGATGCTCAAGTACACAATAAAGACATTTGTTCAACCATGTTTG